CCGCAACGGTCCGTCGCCATCGCCACCAGCGACAGCGTGCTGGCCGCTACCGGGAACGACTGCCGCAACATCAAACATATGCAGTTAGATACTACTTCCAAATGTACGTTTACGATCACATCTTCATCTGAAAGTAATAGAAGTACTTAATAAACGCCTTTCTAACTCTGGATATCTTACTTCAATGTAGTGTGTGACATGGCAGGGCAGCTGGTGTAAGGCGGCGGCGCGTGCGGCGGCGAGCGGCGAGCTGGCCGCGCACACCAGCAGGTCCGCGGCGCATGCACTCAATAGCTGCGGCGTGCGCAGTCGGCACGCGCCGCTGGACGCAAGCGCCGCCATTAAACTTACATTGCCTGATAACAGAAACAGCAAAACTAAAATATATCATCACCATTACAAAATTATGTAGTAATAAAAGTCTAAACTATCGTACGATTATGAATGAATATTGTAATGTATCCACAATTTCTGTTCAGATTTGAACGAACTCCAAATAATGTAATGATATGGAATAATGCCAGCACGAATTATTGCGAAGTCATAACGTATTTACATGATTTATGAGGTTTTAGATGTGGCAAAAATGTGATACAAAGAAATTTGTAGTGACAAGTGTAATGGTATGATTGAAGAGAGTATGGATATAATAAAGCCTGATGCATCCTAAATAAGGACGGATAGTATTCCGATTATATACCTAGTAGAATGGGAACCTAATAAGGCTAGTTACACACTTACCCACTATGCCTATGATGGATACGAAGATGTAAAGCACTATTAGTAGAGTGAGGTGGTCGTGTGTCGGTGTGTCATCAGCCGCGCCCGCTGCACTCGCGTTACCGTACATCACGCTACATCACTCCGCACTGCAAAATAAAACACAATAATACTTCCTACTATAGTGAAACCACGAATTAAATTGGAACCCTAAACCAGCTATGTACTAGTGTATGGCGAAATGTACGCGAAGAAATGAGCATAATATTTGTCGGCAATACTACTTGGGTTTTTATATTTCTTGTTAAGCTGTAAATTGATAAATCTTAATTAATATGTAAAATAGAGTCTGATTGCTAATAATTCTACAAGCCAATTTAATTTATTTAAAAAAACGATAAGGATTATTTTAATTTGTAAACGGTAAATCGGAATGCAACAAAAAGTTGTATAAGTAAGATTTGTTAGAAAGATTATCAGAGAACAGGAGTGGGATACTCTGTATCTACATATAAAATATAGATAAAATAAATGTACATCTTACTAATATTATAAATGTGAAAGTTTAGATGGATGGATGGATGGATGGATGGATGTTTGTTAGAGTTTGTAGCCTAAACAACTGAACGGATTTCGATTAAATTTGGTATAGATGTGGAGGATAGTCTGGAAGAACACATATGCTACTCGTTTTTGTTTTTTTTTTTCAATTCAAGTCGGAGCCGCTGGCGGAAGCTAGTTTTTAAATAATATAGATGTTTTGCAAGTCGTTTAGAAACCTTAACCTAAAAACATTCCCGAACTCCGGTAATTGGGACAATCGCATAAACATTATTCAGAAATAATTAAGTTTCCAAACTTTGAGAAATATTTCAAATGCAAACGAGAAAATATCGTTTCCTTACGGAGAATAAGTAATTCCCAAATTATACAGTTAGATACGTAATTAATTAAACATTAGTTTTCTATAGTCAAAGAATTTCTATTTTTTTTTACGTTATAATGAACAGATAAAAAAACTATAAATGGCAGCACGTGGTGAAAACGTTAATAAATTCCTGTCTCACACGTGTTGAATGTCTTTTTATTAAAATTAAGTTAAAAAACCCCCCTGCTATGAAATTAAATACAACTGTGGAGATATTAAGAATTAACGTGGAAATTTTCAGGTAAAATTTGACCTCATGAGTAATGTGATTTCACGGTTTTAACTTTCATGTTCTCGTTGCTTATATTTCCTATTTACGTGGAAAGTTCCGACAATATACATGTTATAACGTTCAATCTCTTGAAACGTATTTACGATGAAACAGATAAAAAAAAAAAAAATAAATAAAAGAAAATAAAACACTATTTATTGACCAAAAAGAAAATTAAAAGAACATAACTTACAATTATTAATGAAATATATCACTTTAAGGTTTTCTTTGTTCGGAAATGGGTTATAATACTACGACTTACAATAATTTGTTAGACGTAAAATTTATTACCCGACGTTCTTACGGTGAAGGAAAACATCGTGATGCAACCTGCACATATCGGCGAAGAAATTCAAAGATATGCGTGAAGTCAACCAACCCGCACTTGGCCAGCGTGGTTGACTATGGCCTAGTCACCCCTTATCAGGGTAGGCTCCGAGCCCCTCGGTGGGGACGTATAGTGTGCTGGTGATAATGATGATGATGAAAATTAAATACGTACATTAGTATCACGCTAAAAACAAAAACATCATGCTTGATTGATACCAGAGCGAAGGGTATTTTTTAATTTCATTCTCTTTCAGGTCATTTTCTGGTAGCGCAAATGATAAAACGGAATGGCTCCAGCTGGCCAGACCTTTTTTATCCTGATTTGTAATAAAATTATACCGTACGAAAATCCTTCAACCCGCACAAATTTCAAATATATTTTACATTCGTAGATACCTTTTTGTTAAAAAATAGATTTAACCAATTTTGCCATATTTAATTTTCATACAATACAGGGAAATACAAAATCATTTCGTGTCTCAATTTCAGATACTCAAGGTATACATATAACAAACTTTTAGATCGCGCACAACTTTGACTAAACTATCGCAAACTGTTTAGTCACGCTTTGATTCCTATGAGCTAATATGGAGGTGCGCACACTATTCGATTTTTAGTTACGCATCTAATCAGTTGAATTGGCCGAGAAACAATCGAAAATCACAATATGCGATAGTTGTCAAATTGTGCGCCCGCTTAATAAAGGCATAATTTCAATCTTTCAGACAGTTCTTGGAGTAACTCTAAAATTACCCTAAGAAGCCGAAGCATGAAAACCATTCTTTGAAGACCCAAATGGAACTTTACTTTGATACATATATAGCATTGAATTTATAGGGCAGAGACCACGCAATCAACAGTAACCACAAATCAACAGTACAACAAACATTTCAATAGGTTCGTTTCAGACTTCATTCGTGACAATACAAAGCCAATTTTACTGTTAAATTAGTTTCCAATTTTATTGAAATAAACTATTCTAACATATTTTTTTATGTATTAGTAATGAGACTTGAAAACTGCAGATGTAGGTCATAATATATGGATAAACATTTAAATGGACATTTATGGCTATGAAGCTACAATTCATAGGTTCGTCCCTTGTTTTGTGTTTAATAAATTGGTAATTGCTATTATCTGTGTGAATTTTAAAAGTAAAAAAGGATACTTGTACATTTTATCTATCATCTGTTCTTGTTTAATGAAAGGTTTTGTTTAAAATGTTGGTTTTACACGTACTATAGTTTACATAGGAACTATCGTGTACAGATTAAAAACTCGGCGCAAAACACATGTTCCTGTTAGTTAGGGAATTTCGCAGTAACTAGTTAAAACTTTTTAATAAATGTAAACCAACAACAAACACAAACCAAATAACAGACCCCACTATAATAACATTTCAAACAGAAATACGGTTTTAAAAACTCTCTACAATTTTATACAAACATGTATTTTTGACGAATTTAATGTGTGCCAACTTTGCCAACAGCACTGGGGTTGAAATCGTAAAACAATGTACCAAATTAAAATGCCGGCCCGTAATTCGTTTTAATTAAACAATTTGTTTATTTACCTTTCCTTTACGATTTAAATAAGCATACTAATTAAAAAAATGTGTATAAAAAAACACATTTGATTGTTAACAAAGTATGGTATTTTTATTCTATTTTTGATTAGTTATTAAATTGTTGTTTAATTAATTTTGATCTCAAACTAGCGGAAAGTAATTAACATTTAAACGTAAAACGCTAATAACTATACTAGATAGTTAGAAGGTGGAAAACCACACTTTTCATCAGTTAAACTTAGTTAAATGAAGAGGTTAGAAATTAATAAACGTCTCTTTGATACAGACTTCATAAGTCAAGAGCGAAAATTGTTAAAATTTGTACGCTTTTAACATTTATTTCTTTCCGATTAAAAATCACCACACCAACGCATTATTTAACCTCTTTAAATAATGCGTTGATAAGTTTTCAATTTAAGTCCAGCTTATTTATTTGAAATTAATTAAAAAAAACCTATTTTATTAAATAATTCTGAAGTAATGCTAATATGTAATGCTGAATGAAAAATGGGCAAAACTATGACATAAAGAATAACTTAACTTACATGTCGCGTGCAACAGCTAGTTACAAATAACATATTTGTAACTAGCTGTTGCGTGCGATTTCGTCCACGCAATATTAAGATAAAAAAGTAGCCTATAATATGAACATCTATGTCAGTTGCCAGTCTGCGAAAGTCCGGTCGGAATAGACCCAGCCGTTTCGACGTAACCCGGAACAAACGGGACTTGCGGACAGATAGACAGACAAAAAAAAAATTAAATGCGTTTTTCGTTACCAGCATCACAAATACATCATCTTCCCGAAATCTGAAATTTTCTTTTAATATCCCAAACAGACACCCCAATTTTATTATACGTATAGATTTAGGTTAAACATTCATTTATCAACTGTCTTTAAATTGTGATGGGAACAAAGATCAAATAAGCCTTCCATGAAAGATGGATGGCCCACTAATGTCACACGTCAAGACGAACTATAACTCAATTACAATGGTCCTTAAAATTACATATAATAGGGTATACATTTGCTAGAAAATGTATATGATTTTTTATGCTATATAATGGAGTGGCTCAAAGCCTACTCTAAGTTAAGGGCCATAGTCAACCACGTTGGTTGACTTCACACATATCTTTGAAATTCTCTGTCAATATGTAAAGACGAATTTTTTGAAAAGGGTAATTCAACTTCAAAAATATACAAAATAAACAATCTTACCTACCTACGTTTTATTAATTCCAAATCTTTACACTTTTGTTTTTGTTATCCCGTAAAACATTTATTTAAACATTAGACAAGGAATCAAAAATATATTCAATCAAAATTGAAACATAAATAACCGACTTCATAATAATTTTAAATAATAAAACACTAAAATAATTAACACCACAATTCAATTCTTCATATTATTTACATTTTATGGTAACATTCGCGGAAAGTTACGACGAAGTTAGCTGAGGTAGCGTTTCTAAATTGCACGGATCAAAACAAAGCCTGTACAAGACGTCTAACCAGCACGGGCGTCACGAGCACACTGAAAGATGCTACGACCAGCGACTGGCGTGTAAAATGTTAGATTCATCCTGAAAATTGTATTACGTCATAGTGCAAATGTTCTCGGTTGTATATTAAAAACAAAACAATATTTTGAAACATGTAAAACATGTTTTTATATTTCGTAAACATTTTAGTATTGTATTGATACTCGATATATATATATATACTCGATGAGGATGTTATCATTATTCACAAGGGAATGTTTTTGTTTGTTTGGGATACATTATAAAAGAAACTTTGGATGATGGACATAAAATAATATGAACTATGGAGAAATATTGCTTTTGGTTTTAATTTGCTAAATGTTATTAAAGAATCAATATGATATACAACAGCGTAGAGCTTATTTTTTTATAATCATGATCATACAAATGACTTATTAATGAGAAAGATTGGATGGATGTTTGTTACTACATCTCTCCAAAACAGTTTAAGAGATCTCAATGAACTTTGGCACAGATGTAGAACATAGTCTGGAAGAACACATCGGCTACTTAATAAAATCTTTTTTTAATATCGTGTGTACGGATTTGTGGGCAAAATCTAGTTACATATACATATATTAGGATTTTTACAAGGTGTTGAAATGTTCATTTTGTAAAATTATATACGTAAACCTACAAAATAGTACAATTAAAAACAATGCGTACTAAGTTAGACGGCATACGAATATTAGCTCCCTACTAGAGTTACCTTAATTGTTCTTCAAAACTTAGTTTCAAAGGAATAATAACTCAACTTATTTGTCAAGGGAAACGTTATCATCTGATTTTAAGATTTTACTGACAAGAGTTTAAGTTATAGCCGGCCTTTGGGATTAGAAACTTAGTCCACTTTAATAACAATGTTATTGGGTATAGTATCTTAACTACACCATCTTACTAATTTTATAAATGCGAATGTTTAGATGAATTTTGGCATGGATGTAGAGGATAATCTGGAAGAACACTTGGGATTTGCTTTTAGTTTTTTTTTTAATTCCACGCGGACGGAGTCACAGGCGAAAGCAAGTAAAGTAATAAATTAGAAAGTAATCTATATCTATACTAATAATATAAAGAGGAAATATTTGTATTTTTGTATGTATTGAAATAACTCAAAAACTACTGGAACGACATCAAAAATTCTTTCACCATTAAAAAACTACGTTATCAATGAATAACATAGGCTTGTGTTTTTATTATATTTTATTACGCGAGCAAAGTCGCGAGCAACTCATTATATAAAAAAAACACTAACATAACCCGACAATTAACAACTAGAGTAACTAATAAATGTTTAAATACTAAATCCACTTCACAATTCAACTCAAAGACAACCAATTATCAACTATCACAAGTATTTATGTCAGGGTCAGGTTGACGATGGTCATAGTACTATTAGAAGTCAAAGTACGGGAAGAATGGGAACAAGAGTAAGGAACGGAATGTACGGCATCTTAGTAAATAATGAAGCGTAGAACAATTACAGTTAATAGAAAAGTGACTGCCGAATTCGTCTAGTTGAAATGATAGCATCGAACATTGAAATTTTGTCAAAGCAAAGCTAACTGCAGCGAATGTGGAGCAATATCAATGCAATGAGAACTCAAACCAAGCACTGAGGGAATTTTAAACCAACTAGTATATTAACAGGAATATTCTGTTGCTGGCGCTATAAAGTTCTTTGTAAATAGAAATGCGTCAGTGAATAACGTCATATCTGCGTGCGAATCTGATATTAATTTATGACGAAAGTTTTATTACAAACGTTATCTTATTGAAATGAATTATGACGTCATTCTACACTATTTTTAACTGTGTTTACGTGACATATTGCCTTTTGAGGACTTGAATTGACACGAGAAAAGGACGTGGACCAAATTTTTTTTTTGCTGTCGCGGGAAATGCATTTACGCACTGCACCTGCAGCAGGGACGGTTTCAAGTGGGACTGCCGGCCTTATATTTCGGCCGGACTACCCACTAACGGCCGGTCTCAAAATGCAATTTTATCAATCGAAAATCCCAATCCGTACCCTAATCTTTTGAAATACAGTCTCAATAAACGACCGAACGATAGAAATTCGATCTAAAAACATGACTAATCTATTGGAGGGAAAAATCTGATTTCTAACACTTTTCGGATCGCCCTCTGTTTGAAAGTGACAGTTGCAGTGTTTCAATAAATGTTTTTGGAATTTTGACAAATCTCTCAATCTTTATTTTACAATCTATGGAAATCGGAAGATTCTACTTATTTATTATGAGATTAAAAAATGGTTGGCTTATTGCCGTATAGTGATAGATGATAGTGAAAGTGATTCGGAGGTGTTAGAGCAACTTTCAGACTGGGACGAAGAAGAAATGCATTCAGGGCGATGGTAGTATTTGAAATAA